GAGAAGACCAAAAAAAAGATGGAGGGATGTAATTGAATGCGATATGAGGACGAATGATATTAGTGTAGATGATCGTGTCAAGTGGAAGTTTAGGATAAGGGTGGCCAACCCCAAGTAGTTGAGATTAAGGCGAGGAAAAAGAAGAAGAAACATTACAATAAAATATCGTAACTCGAAAATTAACAAAATAAAAAGAAAAAGTTTGATTGAGAGAATTGAAGTGAGAGTTATTTTTGATTCGGGNCCAACCCCAAGTAGTTGAGATTAAGGCGAGGAAAAAGAAGAAGAAACATTACAATAAAATATCGTAACTCGAAAATTAACAAAATAAAAAGAAAAAGTTTGATTGAGAGAATTGAAGTGAGAGTTATTTTTGATTCGGGGTGTGATTCGAGGGTTACAGAATAACAATATAAATATTCTTACGGATTTAAAAATCTTACTTGATAATATTTCTTCAGTTGTTATAATAACTTCAGTGATAATATTAATAAAATGATAAATAAAGTAACACAGATTCAAGTTTTTGTTCACAAATCAAGAACGTAAGAATAAAGGTATATTTTGCCTTTTTATAGTACTTTTTACCCTCGAAAATCATCATTGTCTAATTCTTACAACAGTGGCGGCTCGTAGCTTGGACGATCGTACCCCCTACTAAAATGAATTAAAAGAAGAAAATTAATTGTAAATTCTTAATTCTACATTTTTATTAAAAATGCAAATTGTTAAGTAGTAAAATAGTTATAAAACATTTGTCGTGTGCGAACATTTAAGTTGTTTCCCTCAGTATATGCGAGTTCGCAGGCATACGCAAACAGTGTTTGAACGATCGGCAGCGTCGTCCATACAGTAAAATATTAGTATATTATTAAATTGGGTAATTCATTTTTAGAATTAACGTACTCTCGTCGTTATCGGTTTCTATAATAGTATAATCGCTATTATTATTACTATTTTCATTTATATTTTCTTCTGCGACCTTTAAAATAATAGTATGTGTTTTATTTTATTATATTTAATTTGACAATTTTTTATATCAATAACTAGCGGTATTATATTTAAAGCCGCACCCCCCCCCTCCACCAGCACCCACTAGCCTACACTGTCTTACTCAGTGGCGTATTTTGGGGGGTGTCCTCCNAACTAGCGGTATTATATTTAAAGCCGCACCCCCCCCCTCCACCAGCACCCACTAGCCTACACTGTCTTACTCAGTGGCGTATTTTGGGGGGTGTCCTCCATGTCTGGACACCCACCGACTTAAAAAAAAATGCCTAATATATTGGTATTAACTTTTTTTTATAATATACTATATTTATTAACTATAAAATAAATGGTATTTTAAATAAATAACAAAATTGAAGATAATTTGATAGGATTCGACGACACGTATTTATCTACATTTTATCAGAGATTTCTAGAAATTATTTGGATTTCATTGGGTCATTTAGATAACAAAAATACCCGTAGCAAAAATATAATAACAACGGAAATATTCTGAACTTGTAGTTCATTTTTAAATTTATTTTATAGTTTATCAGTTTAGAGAATTATAAACAAATAAGTTTAGTTACCCCTATTCAATATACCGCATTCATAAAAAATACAGAAAAGAATTTTTTATAATTAAAATAGTATTTAAAAAATAAACAAAAGTTATGAAATTCTTTATGAATCGTCATTTAGTAAAATTAAAATTAAGTTGTTAAGATAGTAGATACGCTTGTTAATTTAAAAATTTATAATTGGCTGACTTTTTAACTTAATTGTATCCATAACTGTATATTATAATATTTGTATATTCACATAACAAGAACATTAAATTATTTCAGTTAAGATAAATTTATATTAAATTTGAATTTCTTAAATGAAATGTTACAAAGAAAAATGAGATCAAAAAAAAATAACAAGACAACAATTAAACATAGAAAAAGTAAAAAAATGTTTGGTGGTATACAAATAAAAATTTCAATTTATAGTGAATATTAAGAAAATTGATATAAAATACAAAAATAAAATTTCATTCATAAAAATATTAATTGAATAGCTCGCCAGCAATAATTTCATTTTTGTGTCTTAATCTTATAAAAGGCATAAAATTTGCATTTATTGGTTTTGTATCTCCTCGAGACATTTTTTCTGTCAGCTCAACAGTAAATGGCCCACAATCATGTCCATTGGTTTGGCGAGATGTCTCACCTATTTGTAATGTCCATGTAGAAGCTTTTCCTTTTTTGTCTATCTCCCATTCAATTAAGAAATTGTTTAATACCATTGGATAGGGACCCTCATACGACTTAAGACTATCATATGATGTCACAGTCTTTTCAGGTATATTAACCACTGTCAATATCCAATGACTCTCATATACATTCATGGGCACAAAAAGTAATTTTATTGTGTGAATATCTTTTTTTATCCATCTTCTTACAGCTGGATAACCTCCTCGAAGATACGCTACAATAAAATCAGTGACAACTGCATAAACTTCACCTTCTGACCGTTTTACTATCATTTTAATGTACTCATTAATTGTGTCTGAAGTATACCAAGATGTGGGCGATTTAAATGAAGGTGCATTATACTGATCAAGAGATTTTGTGTTCTGATATTGCATTACTTCTGCAAGTGTAACCATATTTAAACATTTTTCATAAAATTAATAAAAGACTTTGTTGAACAGTTTACTATTATTTAGGTTTATTTAAGGTTTTGGAATATGAAATTAAACACGTATAATTACTTTTGTTTAAAACGTCCATGGACCCCCTTAATGACACGCCTCTGCAGAAGTTATATTAATTTAACTCGTATTATTATAATTAATTATGTTTAATAAATAATCTTTTTTTATTTAATTTTACATAAAATAAATAGATTAAATAACTAATTACCTTTTTCTTTCTCTGGTACTTTTATTACTTCAATAGTGGACAGAGCAAGTAAATTTACGTCATTCGGCGTATTTAAGGTCAAAGGATTAGAACTAACTTTTGGCTCTAAAATAATTTATGTTTAAAAATATTACATATTTGTTTCAAAAATCAAAATTTCATATTTTTTAAAAATGAATTATATTTTAAAAGTTGTATACTTTTTATGACTTTTTCATCTTCTTCGGATGAATTTCTTTTTAAATTTGGTCGAGCAGTAGTATTAGAAGATATCTCAAAAAGTTGTTTTTTTATTTCGGATTTTTTGCGTTCCAAATTTTTCTTATGAAAACTCTTAACGGATCATAAAAATATATTTAATTATATGATAAATTTATTTAAGAAATCTGCTTTAAGTCCAAAAAATGGTTTAGGGTATACCCTAAAATCTTTTTATTGAAATAAAGCATAATAAAATATACCTTTTCTAACAAATCAGCTGATATTAATAGCGGATTGTCTTTTGAAATTGCTATATTTTTTTTTTCTGTTGAATTTAAAATTTCATTTTTATATTTTTCAGATTTTTCATTCTGAAAAAGTGTTCCGAATTCTCTTTGCTGCATCATATTCTAGGTAACCAAAGAGATATTTAAATAAACAAATAAACTATACTTAATATTATATTATTATCTTCGATAAAAATTGAATTTCCCATAAAAATCTAATAGAAAAAATAGCAGAATAATATTAAACATTATGTTACCGCATTTATATTAAGGGGGTTGATAGTTTATTTTATATTTTTGAATCAGACAAACCCCAATAACATAGCTAAATCGAATAAATATATTAATATAATTATAGTTACCAATTTTTCTGGAATAATTTTATCATTTTTATTCGTTTTTCGATACGTGCGTTTTTTTGGAATAATGGAATTTTTTATAGGATAAATATTTTTATTAATAATTGCTGCAAATTGAATATAATTTTAATAATTATTAATTAAATAATCAATTTCGAAAAAGGTTTTTAATATTAAAATAGTTAAATTAAAGTAAAGCGACTGAATTATTGTTATATATGAATAAGAGAACTTATTATTAATTTTTCTTATATTTTATATTAAAAAACTTTTTCTCTATTCGAAATAGTTAGTTTAATTATTAATCTTAATAGTGTTTACAGATAATTCTTCCATCTTTAGTTGACTTTTTTGATATTTGTCCTTTATTTGTATTATTTAAAACACAATTGGAATGCATGAAACGACGATTCCATATTTCTTCAACTCTGCGTATGACCTTATGTAAGTTTGATTCATTTGTTTGACCAAAAATATTTTTTTCACTTGCCATATCAATAACTAATTAAATAAATCTTAATAATTACACAAGACGATAGTTTATTTTTCACGGGAAAAAACGAAGTGAACTGAAATGTCGATAAAATCAACATTTACATCTAATTGTCAAGGAAACTTAATTGTAAAAATTCATTAAAAAAATGTATAAGCCAATTATAAATAAATTTAGTATAAACAATACTTATTTATTTTAATTGTATTATTGGTCAAAGAATACAATATTTTAAGAATAATACAGAGAATTATCAAAAAAAAAAAATATATATATATATTTTAAAGATATTTTGAAGAAAAACCTTTTGTATTTGTTTGTTTATTTATTACATTAGTTTACAAATGATAGAGATTTTTTTATGAAAGTTCAAGTGGAATAAATTTGATATCGGTTAACAGAATATTTATGCATATAAAATTTAATCTGTATGAAATAAAATATCAACGTTTGGATTTATTCTCTTGCAACTATTAAAAATTTTGCCCATGTGAAATTGCTATTTCCATTTAGTTATTAACAAAAAACATCATGCCATGCGATTATAATCAACATAAAAATTTATTAAGTTGAATATATAAAATAGTTTAACAATTTAATTAATAATTGAATTAATGACATAATAATCCTGATAAAAGAAAATAACAGGAGATTTGAATTAATTTTAACGACTTTAACAAATCGAAAATAACTTTAGGGTTTAACTACCTTATAGGTTTAATTATTATTTGCATTTTTAATGTTATTATTATTTTTAATTTTTTTTTTTTGACAATAACGGCTATCTTTGTAACTTCAATGAAAATGACAAATTATCCAAGAAAATCAAGGAAATTTTAGAGAAATATTGGTGGAAGCGAACAAGTAACCTTGTGTGTTCGATATTTAGATGTTGAAAATATGATTATCAAGGAAGAATTCTTCAGTTTGTGCCTACAACAGATACTACTGGAAAAGGTTTATATATTATTATTCAAAGTTTACATTCATTTGGTGTAGAAACAAAATACCTTAGAGGACAGTGTTACGATGGATGTGCTTCTATGTCTGGTCAATTTAACGGAGCTCAATCTCTTATTCACCAAAGTTATCCGCTTGCGACGTTTGTTCATTGTGCTGTTCATGTTTTAAACCTTGCTATTTCTTATTCATCTTCTATACAAGAAACACGAAATGGATTAGGAACAACATCTAAAGTTAGAGATTTTTTCATATACCCAAAGCGAAAAGATGTGTTGAAAAGTCAAATCGAAGAAAGTCAAAAATGTATAACTAAAAAATCATTAAAACAATTATGTGCGACTAAATGAGTTGAACGTTTTTATGCTGTCAATGATTTTCTTGAGCTTTTTGTGTACCTAATTGAATCGTTATTTATAATTTCGAAGTGGAATGACACTGAAACATCATCAAAAGCAAGTCATTTTCGAACATCAATATTGAAAGGAGATTTTATTATTTGNCGAACATCAATACTGAAAGGAGATTTTATTATTTGTTTACTTATTATAAATAAAGTATTTAGTTATGAGTTACTTTGTTTAAAACAACTTCAAAGAAATTAGCAGGTACACAGCATTGTTATTATCAATGGTAGTAAGGCACATTGTTGTGAGTTTAAAAATACACTAACTGACAATACAGAAAGTATATCTATGATAGTCATAATTGATAATAAATAATAAGTGGCTGCGACATTGATATCATATAAACCATTTAGCTACCTGAATTTGTAATCATATCATCATGTGTATTATACATGTATTTTAACTCAAAAATTTGAAACATTAAATGTTTATATCTAATAAACTAATAAAGTTATATTAAAAGTTCAAATGCCATTTACTATTTAATTAAAAATCCAAACATTTTATTATATTCAAAATATGTGTCCCCATTTAAAAGACAAAGTTGACAACCTTACAAGGCATAAGGGATGAACATAAAAAGTTTTAAATAGTTAATAAATTAAGAATAATGTGTAACTAAAGAAAACCAAAAATAATGTTTAAATTATATTTATTCTACAAGTAAATGAGTGGGTTATGATAAAAAAATCAGTCTGTATACTGTAATATAGTTTATCATTTGTAAAGCTGGAAGTAAAACATTATTGAAATGTTTCGTTTAATTGTAATTTCCTGATCTATTATTACTAGACCAGGAATTAAATATTTATAAACATTTTTGAAAACGATAGTATTATTAATTTTGAAAAAAGAAGAAATATTAAACAAAATATTTTAGTATATAAGACGAAATGGAATGAATCGTAGAGGAGAGAGGACCTAAGGAGCACCGAAGGTAATCTCTTTTCGTGCGGTACGTTTATGACATTAAGTTTTCATTTTGTGTATTGTTTTATTGTGTTTTTAGTGTATATTTATTTTGTATGTTTTGCATTGTTTAATTATATCTATAATAAATACATTTGAGTTATTATTAAACTTTTATTACTTTAAGTTAAGACACTAGGGTTGTTTCTTTTAAGATACAACAGTACCAAAATTTCAAATTTCAAATTATTTGTCAATTCCTAAAATAGTAATTAGAAAAATAGTAAGTTTTTTTTACGTCAGTAAACATTTCTATAATTTTCGTTTGTGAGGTTCATTAAAAGTTGGACACCACCCGAGAAATCATTCAAAATACGCCACTGGTCTTACAGTATAACTGTTCATTGATAAATAAGCATAAAATACAGAAATTATTACAGATGAATGGAGTACATTCATCATGGAGTATATAAATCATTTTGACATTTTATATATAACATTAACATAGTTTTTTTATAAATAAGATTAGGATTAATACAATGCATTTAATTATTAAAATTAGAATAAAAAATATGACAAAAATAATTTATAGATTTCTTTTCGGAAGGAAGGATTTTAAAAGTGACTATGAATTGATTTATGATTGAATCGTGTATATTACAATATAACTAAACAGTATGTGTTTGTTGACTNGGGTATCTATTGTTCTCATTGTTACAAACAATGAGAACAATAGAAACCCGTTTCCTGACTTACTGAACACCCTGTATAACTAAACAGTATGTGTTTGTTGATTATTTTTCTTAAATGTTTATTTAAACTTTTTGTTTGAAAAGAATTATGTCCTTCTAACAAAATCATGTATAAATATCCCAATTTATGGCAGTGACGAGTATATTACGACAAATAATATTATTTCTTTTACGAAAATTAAAAATTCTTAATAGATCCGAGAAAACGAGTGTCTTATTCTTAATCGATACATTAAATATAGTTGAGCAAATATAAAATGTGTATATATTTATCACAATGACACTAAAAAAAAAAAAATTAATTATGCCATATGAGTATTAAAAAAATATACACATGAAAATAATAAAATAATACATAAGAGTACTGAATTTTTAAATTATAAGTAATGAATCCATCTTGTGTAAACACAAAATAGCATTAGCTGTTACTATTTCTTCCAAGTAACAGATTGTTATTGCTGTTCAAGCAGTAACTGTTATAAATCACTGTTACTGTTATTTTTTCCCATCATTAATTATTACAAACCATTCAGAATATTATGCATGTTAAACGACTAAATAAAATAACAAATATCTTATTTGAATGAAAATTTTCATGATTAAATACTTTTGACTATCGAATTATCAAATAAAATATACGGTTATTTTTGTTTTAATGAAAACTACTAATATTTCATCAGGTATTCGATAGTATTCAGTTATGCATATGTCATTCAGTAGAATTATATATATGTATATTCGGTAATACATTACCCAACTAGTAAATCTTATACGAGGGGTGACAGTAGCGTAACTAAGATTTCAAGGGAATCAGGATCCCCTTGGCTTTTCTCCTGGTTACATCAATGAATGGTGAGGGGAAAAGGTTATCACTGATGACTCAGGAACAATTATAACAAATGAGTCAAAGATAACTTGAGAAACTATTTCTATACCTAAGTAGAGAAACAGTCCAAGTCGACTTAAATTAAATTTCACTTTTTAGCGTTTCAACACGTGAAGTTTTTTAACCATCTTCATTTAAATCGTGTAAAGTCGGGTTCCCATTACTCGTAAATTTTCCGAGTAATCGTTATTTGTCAATATTTATCAAGGAGTAGGGAATGGTGTACTTGAACGATATTCGTTCATCGGCATTCGTTATTTGTCATCTTCACGACGGTTGTCGGTTTTGTGACACAAATCAAAACGATTATAAATATTTGTCCAAATACGCGATAGGTGGAAACTGTCTACTAGGCTATGTTTTTTATTTTAATGAATACTCGTTCAAAATCAATACTTTGTTTACTTAAATAAACGACGATATTTTTATTTTAAAATACCATACAATGGGAGTACACTGATATTCATTAAGATTATATGAATCTAATTGACATAAAAATTAAAGTTAAACTCATTTTAAGTTTCTTGCTTATTCTAAATTGAGAAAAACAACTTTGAAATGTTGAACTAGTTTAAATTGTATTTTTTATCTACCGTCAAATACAGAGTACGGTGCCGCATCGGTACACATTTTTGTCTTTTGTACTTTGGATACATAGGTCAGAATCCCGCCTGTAATAGTAAATATTTTTGCATTTTTTTCTTAATTCTCTTAAAGTTGTATAAATATTCGAAATTAGTTTGACATTTTTCTCATTTAGAAATAAAAACATATAAAGTGATTAAAATTATATAAGAATAATAAGCTATATTGTGAAAATATACAATCATGGCCAGATTTTTTGAAATAAGAAATGTTTAATTACTATGAACTAATTTCAGTTTTTTTTTTAACTAACTTTATTTATTAATGAAGTTCTTAGATCAATGTTTTATAAAGATTTTATTAAAAAATTCATTAAGGTGCATTGAGTCACAGAAGACGTTTCTGTGACCTTCAATGTTTTTTAATGTGATTGTTAGGTGGTTGTTCCATTATATTCAATATGCTTGATTATATGATTTTATAATAAGGCAATTAGCTGATTTACCGCGCAACACCTCAAATAGCAATACACATTTGTAGCGCTTAAAATAGCAAATGTGGCGCCATCTTACAGAGAATTATGTAAAATATAAACTTGGGAAACAATTAGTGAGTGCTACCACCTGATTATATTTTTTCTTCTGGAGAAAATAATGTTTCTTTATCTATTCCCCACGTTTTTCTTTTTGTCGCCCAACTCCTCTGAGACTGTTTTTCATATACTGTACGATATTGTTATTAGGTTGTTTTTGGTAGAACTGTTTGACGACTTGTGATAATTTTTGTCATCCTGAAAATTGTGAAACATTAAATCTTAGAAGTCATAATTATCCAAATTACATCAATGCTGCTGCTTGTCAATAATGAGACATGATCCGTTGTATAAATTACTTTGGAGAAGTTCTGAGTAAAATAGTTTTAGATATTATTCGTTCATGACTGTGGTGTCCAGATTAACTTATTTGTTATTAGACTTTCGTCAAACATATAAATTTAATAATACTCAAAAACTTACGAGTTTGCGATCAATGCAGACCGTTTAAGAATGGCTTGCTTGAACGTATTGAAACAGGAAATCAAAGTATTGGAATCTACTTTTCCCAAAAATCATGACCGATTTCAAGTTCACACAGCTACTGTTGATGAGGTGATATGTAAATTCGTTGGACCAACTGGTCGTCAGTTCGAAATTATTGGCAATATTACAGTATGAATTTTCAAGTATCAAATATTTAATTAGAAATTAATAATATTGTATTTTAACATAATTCAGGAAACCTACCCGGGAACTCCTCCAGTTTGGTTTGCCGATACTGATGACTCTAAAGTTACTAATGCAATTGAAAAACTTGGTCAAACATCTGGTCTTAATAATCATGTAAGTGTTTTTAATGTTACATATCAAAAGTATAATTAAAGTATCATTTTAATGTTGATACTATTATTATTTTATTACAATTATTTATATTTATTAATTTACCATTTAAAATGTATAAGTATTATAATGTATTAGATATAAACAATTTCAAAGAAAGTATTAATTCTTAATTGAGTTTTATATTTTTGATCTCTATAATTTAAAAAATGTTAAATTTAAGATATATTTTTAATTTGAATTAACAAGAATATTTCTTAATATTTATTTCTTAACAACAAAATAATGTATCACTTTTGAAATAACTTCTCATAGTTAATTTGCATTAGATTAATCAATCTGAAACTGATTATTAAAACTCCTTAACTTGACCTCATATAACAAATATTTAAGATTTTAAATGTAAAGGATCATCAATGTTGTCTTAAAATAAATATACAAACAAAAATTTATTTTGTTAAATAAGTAATTCTACATATTAACATCAAAATAATGATAACAGTTATTCATTGTTTTAGTTGAATAATGTGATATAAATATAATAATAGTTTACTATTATATCATATATCATATACAGTTGGTAATATATACAAAGGGTTATAACCAGTGCTCGAATTGGGGGGGTGCGCAGGGGGACGTAGCTCCTCTACTTTTTTTTCAATTTTTTTGCGCACCCCAACTACTTTTTTTTATTGGGACGGGAGGACGGTAGAAAATACCCCCCCTTTTTTTTTTTTTTTAATATTAGTATAATAATGAAATATGATTTATTAATAAATACTAAATAAAGTAATGAGTAAAAAAAAAAAAAATGTCTTCAAAATACTAGGGACGCAGTTTTCAAATTGTTAAGTTGAGCTCCCCTACTTATTTTTGGCCAATTTGAGCACTGGTTATAACTATGTCTCGTAAAATATGTTTAATGTTATAAAACAAAAAATAACTTTTTTATTTTTAATTTATATTACTTTTTACAGCAAATTTCAATAAAACTGTGTTATGTTCCTTTATTAATTCTTTAAATTTTTATTAGTTAGATTTTCAAATGAAAATGACTAGAAAATTATTTAATTAAAACACATGATTCGCCTCATTAATAAATGAAAACTTAAAATAAAGTTGCTTGGTGGTAATGAAAGTTAAATTTCAAAACTAATTTTCTATTTAAATATAAATTGTAAAAATATTAAAAATTAGGCTTGAAAAATAAATGCAAAGTGAATTTTAATATTAGAAATTAATACTGATTAACTTTTGTTTTTTTTAATTTATCCAAAACTTTTTACTGTTTTTTCTTGTAAAATAAATTATTGGTTGGGTTTATCATACATTTTTTTATTTCTAAAATTTTTAATGTCAAGTTTCTCAATGATTACCATTAAAAAAAAAGATTGCTTATTATTGGTTGAAAGTAGTAAATTTTATTAGTGTTTAACTAGTAATGTAGTTTTACAAAAACTGCAAATGAAAATGCCCAAACAGAGTATTGTCCTCTATTCTCTTTCACTAATGAAATAACCAAAAATTATTTTTGATTTTCAAGAAAAGATACCTTAAGAAACTTGATGGGAAAGAAAGGTGAACTATAATAAAAGTTATAACTCCTAAGTTCTACTATGGTTGTACCGCTATCTCCAATAGTCTTTCTATTTTAGATTCTAAGTGAAGCTAAAACAGTTAAGGTTATACAATAAAGATTATTTCTCATGTAGTACATGTGTAAAAAAAGTTAATCTTTTATGTGTAAATGGTCCTCAAAGCAGGGATGTAACATTTTAAATAAACAGTGTGTAAAACGCCAAAAATTTGAACATTTTTATTGGTCTTAAACATTTTAAATTGTTAACTCATATTTTAAACAGGTTTTTTATGTAAATCATGTTTTTAACAATCCAGTTTTAAAGTATACAAATTTATATCAAATAAAATTTATTATTAGCTGGTTAGTCTAGTATTATGAAGATAATCTCGATTAAATTTAGTTGTTTAGGATGTGACAATTTGTCCTGTAGACATTTTTTTCAGAGTTAATTATTCTCTTTATCAAAACTCTGTTTTTTTTTTAAATTATATACAATTAAAATAAAAAAAATCTTAACTATTTTATTATATTTATTTGTTAATTTCTAACTATATTTTTTAAAAACTTTTTAAGGTTATTAATCAAGTTAGTATATTGATAAGTGAACTTTGTCGAACATATTGTTTATCTGAGCCGTCCGAGCTTCAAAGACTGATACAGATGCCTTGTAGTTCAGGGGCATCAACTTCTACTTCCTGTTCTAGTAAACTTACTGATGAAGAAGATGATGATGATGAAGATGAAGAAGAAGTAGAAGAATATATACAGTTAGAAATGGAAGAACCTATTACTGAGTCTACTAAAAAACAGGTTTTTATATCAACACTTAAATATGAGCTAGATAATTTGTGTAGTAAAATTTATCTTATAAAATATCTAATTTATAATAAATTTTTGAAACAATGATTTAATTAAAACTGCATTTGAGGAACGCTTAGGAAAGGGTATTGAATTTTGTCAATTTATGATAAATATTGATAACCATTTTATATCATTTAAATTATTTTGAAGTGATAAGCAAAAAAAAAATTTTTAATGCATAAATTAAATTAGCATTAGACCATATGCTATTTACCCAAGGCCCTTCTTTTTATGCAGTCCTTTATTTTAAACCTAATCAAATAAATTTATTTAATTAATTGATACTTAAACCTTTTAATATAGTTAAATTTTACATTGATTTTTTACTGTTCTAATTTCTATACTGAAAATATTTAATGCTGACGAAGCAGTGTCATATTTTATATACAAAAAGTGTTCAATTATCAAATATGCATATATATAATATTTTTTGGACAATATCACACTTTTCATTCTTATTCAAACCTAATAGACTTCTTATGTATCTGTGTTAGTATTTATAACTGGATAATATTACTCAGGTTCTGTTTCAAGTAAACTAATATAGCTTTGGATACTGTTTTTCTACTTGAATATTACATAATTATTTAAAACTTCATCCTTTCAACATACGTGTATTGTAAAGTATTTAGACAAATAAAAAATAATGAATTTAATAATCCTAAGATTATGTCTTTAATATTAATAAAATGTAGTTACATTTACAAATAAGTAGCCTTAAAAAATTAAATATGAAAATGTTGAAAACTTTTAATAATGCTTTGTGTTTGGTGTTACATTAGATTGACGATATGGAAGTTCAACATTTAGAAACTCTAGAAAGACTACGTCAAAATCAACGTCAAGATTATTTAAAAGGGGCTGTTACAGGATCTGTACAAGCAACTGACCGTCTGATGAAAGAACTAAGGGATATATATCGATCTGATAGTTTTAAGAAAGGTAAGATAACTTATATAATTAAGATTATGCCCAAGAAAGAAGGATAAAAATTCATCATAGCTAAAATAATTATGAATTAAAGATATAGTTTGCAATGAAACTATATAATAATATAATATTATAAAATTATATAAAATATTTTTATTTTTGTAAGTCCTCCCCTCAATAAAAAAATTCTAGCACGCTACTATTTTTTAAATTAGTATGTATTTATAGAAATATATCAAATTAAATATCTATTTTCTTTGATAATATTAGTTTTTTATCAAATCTTCATAGGCATGTATAGTGTTGAACTAGTTTGTGATAGTATTTATGAATGGAACATCAAGTTAATGACCGTTGATCCAGATTCAGCTTTATATCATGATTTACAAAAATTAAAGGAGAAAGAAGGAAAAGACTTCGTACTTTTAAACATCACGTTCAAAGAAACTTATCCATTTGAGCCACCATTTGTTCGTGTAGTTCATCCAATTATTCAAGGTGGATATGTCTTAGTTGGTGGTGCAATTTGTATGGAACTTCTAACTAAACAAGGTTGGAGTTCAGCATATACCGTTGAAGCAGTTATCATGCAAATTGCTGCTACTTTAGTCAAAGGAAAAGCTAGAATTCAATTTGGAGTACCAAAAACTATGAACCAGGTATCTCAAGCAACAAATCCAATAGTATGTTTAATTAATTTTTTAATTTATAAAGAATATTCAAAATATTAAACATATAATTTATTCAATTAACTTATTTTAGTTTACTATTTTTACTTAAATACTATTAGTAATTTTAAAATAAATTTTCAGGGTCAATACTCATTAGCTAGAGCACAACAATCATTCAAATCTCTTGTTCAAATTCATGAAAAAAATGGTAATTTTTCATCATACTAACAAATGTTTAATATCCTTATAAGTTATATTTTAAGATACATTTATATTATTTACATATTATAAAATGATTTAATTATTTTAGGTTGGTTTACACCCCCAAAAGAAGATGGTTAATCCAAAGTTGTACAATACTTAAAGTATAATTATTCATTCCTCAACGAAAATAATAATCACATGCTAATTTGTAAAAAAATGCATATTGTTCGTTTACAGCATACAATTTAAGTTTTTATTCTTACTTAATTTTAGTTTGTGTTAACTACATTTGATCAACACTTTAATTCCAAATATTCAGCAATATTGTATTTGTTCAATTATTCTAGTGTGAATATTAAGCTCACATATCGCATATAAAAAGATTGTGTATTCTTAAAATATGCTAAAAACTGCCATTGGAGGGGTTTTTTCAGGATTAAATAATTTACTTCAAGTACACAACTAAACTATTAATTTTACTGTGATTTCTTTAATAGTGTTTAGCATTCATTTTCAAGTATCCTTTTAATTTATATAATTTTTATGTGAATAAATGACACAAGTCTCATGCAAAATAAGTAGAAGTGCATTAATATTTACTTACACTCAGTAATTATAACACCAGTTTATATATTACACATTTATAGTCTTATATTATCATGTGTAATGCTCAAAAATTCTACTACTACTGCTTAAAGATTAATGTAAAATAAATAAACACTTGGTTTAACAAGTACTTACTAGCTATTTATCAACTTAATGTATATATGAAAATCGGTTTTTAACTGAAAATTTATTGTAATGTTAATTTATTTGTACTGATACAGGAAAAATCCTGATGTGTGTAAAAAAGCCACAAATATCAGTAAAATATTTTAGCTAAAATTTTTATACTAAATGTAATATAAATAATAACTTTTTATGTCAATTGTTACATTGCTAATGTCTAAGCATCCTATCATTAACTTAAGTAATATACAATTTTTTGAACTTTTATTCAGTTTTTAAATTATATATTTCTGAAAAGTAATTTATGTAATTCATACATAATTGCTATGAAGAGACTGTTTTTATGTAAAGTTTAGTTGGTATAACTATTTTATGATTTTTCATAAACAAATAGTCTTACATTTCACAGTTCGATCAATGTCCTTATGTAAAATAAATGTTGTACATTAGAAAATGAGTTTTTGAATATTTTATTGTATAATTAAGAATATATTATTTTATTATTCTACTTGAAAATTCAATGATGATATACATGTTTTATCACAATATTGTATTTAATAAAAGAAGAAATTTAATTAATACTTGTAGCTTAAATTAATTTTTTCGGAGTTCATAAACATTTTCCTTTAGAAACAAAGGCCCACATTTAAAATTTAAGAATTATGTAATAACTGTTATAAAAATATATTAGCTAGTTTAGTACATTAAAATTTTGAATAGAATCAATATCCACTCATTAAAGTAATTCATATTTGATACATTACACTGAGTACACTCATACTCAAATATTAATGAACTATTTTAAAATTCTATATTTGAAACCTATCTGACATTTTTATCTGATATTTTTTATTATTACTTAAGATCTATTGAAAAAGATATTTAAATTTAATGGCATTTAGTTTATTTACATATAAATTATTAATATAGGTTATATTTTCATTGTTAGTAATGTTCTGATGAATTAAATGAATTTCCAATACATTGAATAATATTCTCACCTATAGTAACACAGTAACTACTAATTTATTAGTATATTCATGTATTTATTATTTATAGGTTGATGCAAACACTTACCAATTTGTTTAATTAAAGCCATAGTTTCTTGGTGTCTTCTTTCTTCTGCTTCTTCTCTGTGGGCAGCAATTTTAAGTTTAGTTCTTTTCTTTTGGTCAGCTATTTCTCTAAGAGTTCTTGTTAACTCTGTTTCTTGTTTAATTTCGAACTCGTCAGATAAATCTTTACTATTACTATTTTTTATTTTTTTGGTATTTTTCCATTCATTTAGAATCGATTCTTTCTCATCACTTTGATCTATCAGAATAAGTATATAGTTGAATAATTTATGCTACAGCAATTTATCAGTAGAATATAAGTAATAAAAATTACCATCACTCAATCTAAGGTCACAAATTGGATCGATACTTGATATTTCAAATGTGTTTGAGTTGTCTTCTTTTAGCTCAGACACAGGGGATGAACTGCCATCATTAAGTTTATTATGTTTTCTTCTCATTATAGTTTTGTATCTAAACATAGGTAAATATATATTAAAGCAGGGTTTTTAAAATTAGTTCAGTTTTTTGAAAATTTTTACCGTATCGAGTAATTTAGTTGACAAATATTTTTCAAAAATTTGTAAAACTAATATTGTAGAAACTAAAGTATTATAAAATCGCATTAAACCTTAAAATTTGACTGAAAAGTATTAAACCAAAATTAACCATATTTTTTTTTGTTTCTTAAAACTTTTTTAAAGTCAAATTTTAAAGTTAAATGTTCAATTATGGCTTTAGAGATCTAAAACTAATTTTGGTTTCTGTGATTGTTTTTTCAATATATACTAAAAAATATGCATTGTAGAAGAATAAATTTATTAGATATAAGACAAATTTCCAAACCCAAAATTATTTTGGTTTCTAAAACCTGTTACTTGTACTAGCCCTGTAATAAAGTATTTTAAATTAAACCATTATAGAACTTGCCTATTAATGCACTGTTCAGCAGATCTATTAATATGTAGAGTTTCATTAATAGATTTTGATATAAATTCAAACATTTTTATTTTAGTACGGAAAGTTCTATGTAAACCAACTTTTGATATATTTTTTTTGTACAACTCCATGAGTAACTTTGTATCATCAACACTCCATTCATTAGAAATTATTTTAGTAAAAGTATTGTCTAAAAAATTGAAAATACACTTACAAAATTATTGATGTATAATAAATGTTAAAATTAAATTGAAATATTACCTTCTACTGAATTTTTTCCATTATAATCATGGTCAGCAGATACAGAGGCAGTAGCAGCTTTAATAAGATTCTCATTTCCATTGTAAAGTTTCATTGTATGTAGTTTTGTTTGGTTTTCTAAATTTTTTTCAAATTTGCCAACTTTTCGATGATTTACTACAGTTTTATACCTTTATATAATGAAATAATTAATAAAAAAATATTACATTTTTTAATTAATAAGAAAATAATTATTATTTTGTTAATAATATCATTTGAGTCAAGAATAAGAATTTTAGTGATATAATTTTTTTTTAATCATAGTAAATTAAAAATATTAAAATATTGTCACGTTGAAACTTTTTAAAAGTAATATTTTAGTTCTTTTAAATATAAGATAATAATCTTTTTAAACTTTTTACCTATTTTCACATTGATGGGCAGTCCTGACAAAATTAAATCTTATGGATAATGATTTTGAAATAAAATTAAACATTTCTTTTTTGCTTTTAAATTTTTTAGCTGGTCCAACTTGTGTTGCATTTCGTCTGTACATATCCATAAGAATCTTTGTTTCATATTGGGTCCATTCTCGCCAAGTTCTTTTACCTTCACATGATATAAATTAATATATTATAATTAGTTTTTATTTTAATAATATTGGAATATATGTAAATAATAAATACACATTTATATATATTTACAAATATGTAAATATATTTATAAATATTTATATATAATACAATATATAAAATTAATAAGTTATTAAAAATATATTTGATCTAATTTTACAATTAATGAGTGAAAGATTAATAATAGGCAAATAAACGATAATAACTTACGAGTTTCAGGAGGAGTTGTTGTTTGCAAATCACTATGATGATCATCATTTTTATAGGATTCAAAAGGCTGTTCTATTACAAAGATATCATCTGAATCTAAAAAATATATTCAATTTTAATTTAGAATTAGAATTAAAAATGAAAAACCATACCCATAACAGAATTTTGGATTCCTAAATTGCCATTATAGACAAAATAAGTCTCCATTATAAATAATCAATAACTTAAACTATCAATATAATTTTAATAATTATATTTATTTTTAATTCCAACATTTGAATAATATTTTCTTAGTTTATCATATTTTTAATGATAACACGAGATAAGGGATAATAACGTTTCAAGGATTCTGTGAAATTATGAATTTTGTGATAATTTCATGATATCACTCATAGACATAATTTCTTTTTGAGGTTAGATATGAAAAACGTTGCGTTTCTGTGTCTTATCAGCGGTTTCTATATCCATACTCTTAATTTTCTCGTAAAACTTAAATTGATTTCTGAATTTTTTTTTTTAGAAACTTTAATCTATTTTTCTTCTACTTTTTAATATATTTCTATTTTAATTTACTTATTTAGTGGAAATCTTCTTGTGACATTGGTAACATCATGAGCAAACTACTATTTTTACGAAATATTCGTGGTTTAGATGAACCTACACTTAGACAGATAATTAATAGTAAAAATTTGCCGTGTGGCACTATTATGTTTAAGTCTAATGGAGCATGTGCCACGGTAGACTTCATGGATTCATCTACTGCTGAATATGCATTGACACTACTGAATGGTAAATATGCCTTAATTATTACTACTGATATATTATAATTGTTAATTTTAAGGTATGCAACTACAAGATTGTACACTCGTGGCAGAACCATACAATGGGCTTCATAGTCAAATGGTTAAAAAAGCAAGGTAAGCAATTAATTTTTGTTCGAGATTTTGTAATCATGACTTTTGATATTAACACATACAACTTATTCAGTTAAATAAGAATATTTTTGTGGCTAGAAACTATTAAAACGTATATAACTTACTATAGGTTTATCATTAAAAATTCATGTTTTTTTTGTTTGGTATTATTGTATTAATAAAAATAATTTGAAATGTTTTAAAATTTCTAGTTTTTTTGAAAAAAATTATGTAGAATATTTTTACTAAGTTTGACTGTTTGAAATTAATACATTACACTATTTTCTATTAAAAATTAGTGTTCCATAAATGATCTAATAACACTGAATATTCAATATTTTAAAAATATCCTTGGAATAGCTAAAATATTCAACCTGCTAATTTTTAAATACTTAAAATATTAATAGCTGATTTGTACTTAAATTATTTGTAGTAGAGACTATCTTAAATAATTTAAAAAATGCTATTAACTTAACATAAAATATTGAGGTATTTCATGTGAATCCACAAATTTCATTCTACTCAGATACTAGATTTTAAATATAAAAATCTTATTTTCAATTAACAGTATGATATTAGATGTTGCCAAAATAGTAAAGAAATATACATAGATAAGGGGTGGGGCTAGCAAGAAAGTAATGTAAGTAAATTGTCATCATTTTTTAGAAGAGTCATTTAAATATTTTAATCCCATATATACCAATAAATATGTATAAATATAAATGAAGTTTTTAAAAATGTAATACTACTGCTTTGTTATATAAATTTATTGTAATTATTGATAGAAAGAAATTGTTAAGTTTGTAGTATTTTTTTTCAGGTCAAATTCGTTTAAGCAAAAATTAACTTGCACCATTTTTGCTCTAATCTCCACATATATTGTGAGAAATTAAAAATTTCTTGGCTTTGAAAAACTTTTTTTATTTCAAAGTTTTTAATTTATTATCACAAAAAACTCATTTTGTGAGGAATACAAGTTTTCCCTAAAAAAAAGCTCTTCTTCTAATAAAATATTAAATCTATATCTTCATATCAGAACATTTATTTAAAAGGTTTATATTATATGAAATTATAATAATTATATTAAATTGCTGCTTTTCAATAGTTTTAATCTAATTTTAGATACTTTTTAGTTACATTATTTTTTTATCATCAACAGTTATGTACTAAAAAAAACTATTAGTTTTAATATATTAAAACTAATAAAAAAATACATTCATTTCTACCCCTTTAATAATAAAATAAAAATAGACGCTTTATTATAAGAAAATAAACTTGATGCTACTGCTACTCGAATCAATCTATAAAGTCAATATGAAAAAAAATATACTACTACTGTTCCCCTATACTCTTCAATTTTTTTTCTCGTCACTATTACATAAAGAAAAAAAATCGTTTGTAATTTTAATATATATTATATTATATTATACTTGTAGCTACCCAAAATTATCATTAAATGACTAACGGTATTAAACTAAAGAACAAACTTGTAGAAGTTCTAGTATTACGACATTTTTTTTAAGGAAAATCAATCTTTGCTGGGTCTTGCACCAAACTTTATAATTTCTCGTAAAAAATAAAAGTATCATGTTATTATTTTTATGTTGGAGCTAAAGTCTCCTTCAACACATTTGAAGTTACTAATAATAAATGTTGTTTTTTGGGTTGAAGAAGTGGAGAAAAGGCAATATGACAAAGAAGCTCTTTATCAGTTCTATTTTTAACACTTAAAATATGAACGTGGTACCTAAGCCCCCATAGATTATCTAAATATGTCAATATCGAAAATCTTTTATAATAACCTTATATTGTAGTTGGAGTATTAATTTCTTTAAATATCTTTATTCAGTTAAGATAATTTCAATTTCAGCCAATATCAATATAAGTAAAATGAAAATATTGTTTTATCTTATAACTTAATTATATTTGTAAAATATCGGCTTTTAGCTTTAAATGGTATAATTAAACTAATTTATTCGTTTCTACACGGATCAACTATATAGTTTTCACTATATAGTTGATAACCGTAACTGAAATATTTTTTTCGGTGTAAAATTTTATCGGGCTTTACGCCAAATTCCGTTGAAACATTTTATTTTGGCTTTTGTGTAATCGTATATGCTTACGATTTAATTTCAATTCATATGCCACTGTACAAAAATTACTGAGCATATCATGTATTTTTAGTATTAACACGAAATTCTTTTTCATAATAAAAGTTAAAATTTAAATTTCTAGCGTTACGTTGTAATTTCATGATGATAATTGAAATATAACCATAATTATTCAAATCCCTGCTTTATTATTTGTCTTTCAAACTAGAATATTGTGATTTAAAATAGTCACTTAAACTTTAAGTCTTCAATGCTTTAAAATGCATAATTACAAGTTCTTTAAATTTCTTGAAATGAAAATTATAATTACACATGTAATTATAATTATAAATATTATTATATTATAAATTATTTACAATGTAAAAAAAATTGTCTATAATATTGGAGATCAACGTATTTTTTAATAATTAAGATAAAATTTATACAAACATATAATTTATAGTTTTTATTTTAATTTTTAAAAATTTAATTGAACCGATATTTTTTTGACATAACTGCATATAATAACCTTATCAAGAAAAACTCATGTTATGATGGTTATTTTACTATTTGATTTATATTTTTTAGCGTGTAGAATTTGAAATTTACCACGTTTTATCGTTTTAAAAGAAAAATATTCTTATTTTTGTACGCTTATTACTTCTGCTTTTGTGCAATATGCATCAGCTGTGATAAATTATTCTAAATGAAGTAATGATTAACACACAGTTCTTATAAAAAAACTTCCCTTGTATATATGTGCGTACTATAGCTGTTAAGAACAATGTTTTTTGTATAGTTGCGATAATCTTTTTATGGAACGCATCATATTTCGTTTGGTTGTGTTGCCAAACATGACAATGGAATTCGGTTAGCTGGTGGCGGTGTTCATCAATCGGCAGGAGGGTATGTCGGATGCCGGGTTAGGTGCCACGCTAACATAGGGGGTGAGATTCTAGTTACCGTAGCGCGCGCGGAGGGGCTGGGCCGGACCGACCCCTTTGGTCGGTGCGCATTTAATCCCCCGATTTTCATGTGCCAAACGTGTACGCGATCCATCTGCCGTCTCGATGGGGTCGCCATCTTGTTTCTACACCCCAATGAAACGACTAGCCAGGACACTACTTTTGTATTGAATAGAGACGACGAAATGAACAGCAATACATATAGCAAAAGGATAAAGTGTGTAATAGTGTTTATTTTCATCTTTACAAATTAAGATTGCTTATGATAAAATTAACGAATTATGAATTTCAACTAAATTTTTTTACCAATTACATAATTAAACATATAATTTTATCTCCGCTACTTGTATATATACAAATTCCTATTCCTAAATCCTAAAATATTTAATAGTTTGTATTGATTTCTACTTTGTTAATAAAACATTAAGTTGTTTTTTGTTTTGTGATACGTTTATTCTTCTACTTCTATAATTAAATTCTAAAATAAACAAAAACATTAGTTGCAATTATAATCTACCTATTATCTGTATCTATTTTTGTTTATTTTTCTATACTTAGTGAACTATTATGAAGATTAAGAGAATCTTAAGATTTTTTTTAAATCATTTAGTAGAGTTTGTTTACTAAATATAATATTTAATTTTTAAATAAATACTCAAATATTTTTTCCATCACTAAGGTTAATCCTTGTGAATAATAACGTAACTATTAAAGAGATCATGATATTATGCACCCAAAAATAATATATAAATAAAAAACTTATTATTCATATTATGAATTTTAATATTTTTTATATGGTATGTAATTTTTAATATAAATAAATTAAATATTTATGTAAATTATTCAAATCATGTCAAAATTGATCGTATTGAAGCTTCATTTTTGTAATTCTGATGGGATAACATTAAATTATTTTCTTATAAACAAAATTTCTAAGCACTATAAACACATTTTTTATCTGCTTTTTAGTTATATTTGAGGTCACCTAATCATTTTACATAAGTTAATCTGCATTCAATTCTTTTTAATTTTCTTCAAATAAAAATAAAAACTGAATAGATATATCATTCTATAAAAGTTTAAATTATTTATATTATTCATTACGATCTAAAATTGTTTTATTTATTTTTATTAATTTTAAACAACTGTCAAGATTAGTCGATTTAAAAATTCTTATAACTTAGTTATTGTTTTGTTTCCATTAATTTTATTGATTGTTGTTAGTCTTATTGTGTTAGTTTATATTGATTTACTAATAACATTCGGCCTTTAATTTTCAAAGATGTTAAAATAGTTACAATAATAATTATACTATACTTTTTAAAACTGCCAAGTATTTTAATTATCTCGATAAAAGTAATAAAAGATAAAAGTAAATAATTTTACATAATTGAAATGTGCACAATTTCAACAAAAATTTTGGATTATATCTAATTTCTCCTTTTTGAAATTTTTATTATGGAGTGATCATTTGAGTTTTATTATCAATATTAGTGTTCTAAAAAAGTGGTGATAAACACAAAAAAAAAAAAAATCACATTATATTAAAAATAATACCTTCTCAGTTTTGCATCGAAACTAAAAATCTTAGTTGTACATATTTTATATATATTACACTGATTTTTTTATTGCATAATGATATATTTTAATATGTATTTATAATAATATAATGAAATGATCTTGCTCAATAAAATGGAGATTATTGAATGAAAGTTTCACTCTTAAATGTTTGGTTGTATGAATCGAATAATGAATTCGAAAGACATTGTCGTTGTTTGACTATAAAAAAATTAAAAATTAGACCCAATTGGATCCTATCCCAGCAATTATTCATACTTATCAGATGAACTGATGATAACTTAAAACTTGTACTGAATTTAAGAAACATTTAATTTGCTGCAATCATCCGCACATTGGATGCTTGCTCACACATTATCTTCTACATTGTTGTGCTGTCGCAGACAGAAGGGCATAAGATACAAAAAATAAGTGAAAAATGCTTACACAATTGTACACTGCATGTAATTTATACTATATATTAATCATTCTTATAAAAATATGTCGTGCCTGTGAAATTTTACCCTTAATATTATTATGTTATTTGTTTTGTAGTGAAGCACACACCTTGAAGGCGTATCAAAAATGAACTGAAAACAGGGTAGTTTCACCTTGCTTCCGTAATTTCTAGTAAAAATAGTATTTTTTTGTCTTATATGTTTTCTGTACAAAATGTAATAACGCTACTATTAGTGTATTGTTAAGGGTACTTCTAACTAGTACTATCTTTTTTACGATTTGTTTCTGTAGTCTATTAATTGACCACTATTTATTTATTAGTTTATTAATTGATTTCCGTCTTGTCAAGGTATACTATAGAATATCTGCCGAACCGAAATTCTTATAATAGCATGAAATACTGTAAAACAAAATTTTTACTTTTTAATAAATTTTATGCATTAAAAAAATTTTTCTTGACTTGCCATTTGCTAATAAAATAACGTAAAAAGTTACAAACGTACGCAAGCTTGCAATTGTAAATATACCTCTCTTCACATGTTGTGTGGTGTTCACTTAATTTTCGTTTAGCTTACACAGATATTTGGATAAATTAACCTTAAATTTCATTTTTTTTTTCTCTTTTTATATCATTATATCTTTTTATATCTCTTTTTATATATTTTGTTTAGCGTAGGATGTAAACTTTTTATGCTCTGTTGGTAATCTTTTTACTTTATTTGATTAGTTAAATAGTGAAATTATTGTTTTCTAATCAATGTACTAATCACTAAATAAAATAGTATTGTTTTAAATTGTCTGTGCTTACCACAAATTATTATAAACAGTTCTTATTTTTCCCAAAATAAATCATTTACACTTGGTTACTACTACATAGGTAGTCTGACTACCTATAACGTTTACTGTATTGTATTGAATTTCTTCCTTTAAATTCGATAGGGAAGAATTTCTAGTCAATACATTGTATACGACCCTTACCATAGTATTATTCAACATCGTTATTGACAAGCGGTTCCCAAAATTCACGTAGACTTAAAGGAGATATCCCTACAAAGTTATACCTGAAGAATGTTTTTTCAATATAGACATACAAAATATTTGTGTATTGGCCGATTATTTAAGCCATGGATTCTCATTTTTGCAACTAACGGAAGTTTTAAAAATTTATACTGTGTATTTTACTTCATTGGTAGATTTCTGCACCCGTGTAGGTACACAATTAAACAATTGTATTAATGAAAGTGTTGAAGTCAATATTTTTCCTAAATGGGAGAATCTTAAAAGAATTTTAGTAATTATAACCATTTACTAAATTCGAAATCATTGCGATTTGATTAAATAAAACATTGTGTAATCCTTTCAGTTTATTCAAAATACTATTAATTGTAAATGTATCGTATAATTTTTTTCTTTTCATACATTAAAATGTCATGCAGTATTTTTTCTATTAAGGGCGTGTTACCTACCTGATTGTTTGGGATTATTTGAATCTTTTTTCTATATATCAAGTATAAGTGATTATAATATAATTTTAAATGTTTTGCAAATTGTGTATTTAGTGTGTTCAGAAAGTATTTCTTAGAATTCTAATAATTAAATCAAATTTATCAAAAAATATTGCGTGAAAATAGAAGTTTGATAATGGACAATTAATTATTATTTTTTTCATATAATATACATTGGTTTATTCACTCGTGTTGTCATTGCAATCGTCTTCTTTTATCATACCCTAAATAGTGTATTTTCTCTTACGCGTGTACAAAAACAAGTTTTCCGATCCGGTCTCCCTCGTGCCTTTACGTGGGTGTATATAGTTGTGCACGAGCCTAATGTGTACCACACTTTGTGCGGGGAGTGTGCAAAAAACGATACGTGTCCTTGTCCTACTGTGGGCAGCTTAAAGATGTTTTTGGCTTGGGACAAGGGTGTTGGTCAATTGTTTTGGAACTAGTTTGGCTCCGGACACCCCCGCAATAAGTGTATCAACTGATTCAAGCACAAGACAACTATGAGGGTGGCGAGAGATTATCATGAAATCTCGTAAGGTGTCCTTTAATATGAATTGAATTGAAACGGGTTATTGCATTTTTTTTTTAGAGTAACACGAGCCATATCAATTAAGTTAACAATTGGAAGTTATATATGATGAACATATGTAATATGTAAAATATGATATGAATTTGCGATTTTTGTTGTACAAGTTGTAGAATTACATTGATGTTGTAAATTAGGAAATCATTTTCTGCATCATTAATAACTTGCAAAAAATTGTTTTATTTTTTATTCGCAAGCGGACACGTGGGTTTCAGAGGTATTAAAAATATTTCATTTATTTCAAAGAATTTTTTTTTCTTATTAATACACATTTTATTTATGTAAATTGTAGAATAAACATGTAGACTGTAATATTAAATTAAATACTTATGAAAATTAGAATGCTGTTAATTACTCGTCTTAAAATGATTTAGCTTTTTTACGCACATAAAAAGAGGTTTAACAAGAATTGAATTAAAATTATAGTTTCTGTTTTTATTTCAATTCAAACTATTAGAATTTTTTAAAATTTTGATTAAAAATTAAAATTACTGCTTGTGTCTATAGTTTGACAAACAAAAAGTTATTGCACATTCGCCATTTTGTTATAACGTACTGAATGTTCACAAGTACACTTTTTTTATTCTTTATGCGACATTGCATAGAAGAAATTAATAAAATAAAAGAAAAATCGCATGAATTACTTTATCTAAAAAAATGGCGGTACGGAACGGATTTCATTGCGCCGGTTGCATTATATTATTATGTACTGCGTTTTTTCATACTCAACCCCTTATTGATACGATTGTTGTGTATGTAATGTATAACGTACATATATTAAGTTCAAATCAGGATATTCGATGTTACTAGTATAAAATGTATGAATAGGGTCCATTTAACTTAGCCAGATTCAAACATATTCATGTTCGATGGGATTTAAAAATAAATTTTGTTTCTAAGCATTATTTGTTCTGACGATTTTTTCTATCGGTAATTGTTTTCATACAAACATACCATATAATGTGAACACATCATTTAATCGAAGATACTATTAGAGTAGTGAACATAAATACCCCAGAATAACATATGTAAAAAATAAATGCAACAATCATTTAGAATTATAAGTAAATCAACGCATTGAAAATATGAGACTTATTTACACTATAACGTCGCAATGAAAATGTCACAAAACATATTTTTATAAATGCTTGCTATCAAAACTTGAAGTTTTTTCGTTCAAAGGTCATCTAATGTACTTAGATATGATTGGACTAGTAATGTGTTGTATAATTAAGGTAATAAAGTATATAGATATCTCATTAATTTTAATCTATGTTTATAATTTAGAAAGACTAAAAATAAAAATATTTTTTGTGTTATAGAGATTGATATTTTATATTTTGTAGTAGTATATAGTATTATATACTTGTAATATATATTCAAATGTACTGTATATTTCACATATCAAAGATTTCATATATATATATTGTATGCATTTAATTTTATTATGGACAGTATGAGTTTATAAGATGATTTGCATAAAAATTCTAAAATCTGGATACATATCAGACAATTGAGCCTGTTTCAACTTTTAATTTATGTGATTAATTTAATATTTTATAATAAAATTAAAGTATTAATTGAACAATTTTAGCCTCTCGTTAATTTTTCAAAGTTTCAAAATTTTTTAATTTGTTTTGGATTACAAATGTACTTTTTTTTTATAACAATGACGTGTTTCGAAATTTTAACGAAGTACTTTTTAGTTGTATAAAAATATATTTTTTTTTGTGGTTGTTAGGTTTTAATAAGTTCCACTTGACTTAGTAAGTTAATTTTAAACATTTTCATTACTTATTTGAAATTTTTGTTTTCTATAAAACTTGATAATTGAATTTAACACTTTATTTTTCTAAAACTTTATGAATCAAATAGTTTCTTTTTATTAAATTAACAATGAAGTTCTTAAGAATATTTGATTTTTATGTTAAATCTAATATACGTTGATAAATCCTAAGAAATTTTCAAATTGAGAATGTTTTATTGTTTGACGATAAATGGGCGTTATTGATTGATTTTATCACGAAAAATATTAATGCCTTCCTGTTTTGCATTTTTGTATACAAATCTGCTAACATACGCTAAATAAATAGTAATTTTATTATTATCAATTAATTTTTTTTCAATATGGTCTGCTGTCATCATTTAATATACATTATCGTTATAATTATGTCATATATAAATCTATTAAATAAATTGTTTATTATTCTGAAGTTAATTACCGAAGAGCTTACCGAAATATGATGATCGTTGATGAACATATAACAATAACAAAGTATTGGATCTATTTTTGAGTTTATTTTTAAGACCAGTATATTTGTAATTCACTTATCTATTTCTCAATATATCTCTCCTGCTTGCAGATAAAATTTCTTTTTTCTAAAGGAACCGTTTGACAATCGGATTAATTTTCGTTTTAGAATCAGGCGTGTCCCTGGGGAGGCTATGGAGGCAATCATCGCACATAAAATGTGCGTACCTATTACTTTCATAACCTGGAAAAAAATGTCTATACTTAAATTTATATACATTATATCTTTTTTCACGTTTGTTCATTTGAACATAAACAAATGTGCTCTTTGCTAAACTGATTTTTTTAATAAAAAGAGTATAAGACTTTATTTTTTACTTAGCTATAATTTATTTTTATACTGCTTGTTCGTTAGTATGTTTTAAAAAGTTGAGCTAGTTGAAGTTCTTGTAATAACAAATGTTGAAAAGCGTTTTTTTGTCTAATACTATTATATTAAATTTTATTAATAACCCTACAAAGATAGGTAACACCAATTAATAGACAAAAATAAGGCTGAGTACATTATTTTGAGCATAGAGATAAGTCTTTGAAAACGGAAAACTCCAAGTACAAAACATAATTTGTGCCAATTATTTCTAAACTAGTTGATAAAAATATTTTAAATTCCCAATATTGTAAATTTGACCTGATCTGTTTAAAATTCTAACTTAAAAAGAGTATGGTCCTCTCCTTTAACTCGGACTGGTTCTATGTATCTCAATCAATTCTTCCGAATTTCATTTAATGTTATATGTATATTTTTTCAAATTATCTATTTTAATATGCAATAATAACACTAATGCATAAAATATGATAAGGTAATTTAAAACTTAACATAGAGAAGTGCTATCATTTATATATTTAAAAAATATTACAGTATGGACTTTGCTATTGCTTCATGCTTTATATGATATGTACACGAACATAATTTAAATATAGTCACATTACACATTGTATTTCTATTTGTTAGTAGCTGTTAACTTAATATTTTAATTTAACTTATGTATTCTTAGTGCCTGCGCACATTTACATTTTAAAATATGTGATTATATGCTATATTGTCTTCCATAACGAAATATTGCTTTAAATTATATTGAGTAGCAAACATTACTTTTACAGGTAATATAAGATTATCTTTATTTAATCCTGAACAATGCGAATAATTTATTAAATTCTTTATCGTTTTACTTTTCTTACCTATAGTAGTCTGCTATAATGCTATCATTTTCGACGTCCATGACCTATTTCAATCTCGAGTATTATTGTCAGTAGGTAAACCATACCATCGTTTTATGGCTTCTGACCTGATTATTGGAAGAGGTTTTTATATCCCCCACTTTTTAAATATTCAGGTAAATTTAAGCTAGTATGTCCTACGATTTCGCATGGATGTAACTTTGTATAGGTATTTCAATTTTTACCTGTCGACTTTAGATGACACTAGTTAATATTTGTTAATTCCACTTTTTGGATTAGATTTTATTCCCCAATTGAATAAATGTTTGAAACATTACAAACGGACCATTATGGACGAGTATGCAGCTGTTTCACTATGGCACTATTCTAAATCCCAATGAATTACTTCTTAATGTATTGAATTTGTAAAAAAATGTGCACATTTTAGTTACATTTTACATAATTCGCAGAGTGCGTTTTTTTTTCTATTGCTCCAATAATTTTTGACTTTCCCTGTTACCTTAATTTTGGAAATAAATGAAAATCACTATTAATATTTAAATATGAAAAATCCTCATATTTTACTTTAAATGGCACGTTGTTTAACAATTCAAATTCTTGTTTTTCGAAATTGTCTATTAAATTAACAAGATTTCTCCAATAATTACTCCATTATGGTCTTATATTTTCGATTATTAATGTTAGATATTATATTTAGTCGTGTATTGAGCTCAATCCCCTAAAAAATTAAGCTTAAACATTTTATATAGTATAAATATATATGTTACATTTGTTTCAATGTCTAATATTATTGTTTCTCAAATTATTTATCTACATGAATAACATATGATATTAAAGGGAAAAAAGTATATTATGTTCAACTTTTGGTAATTTATTTTCTAATTAACTTTCCAAGATAAAGTGTAGAATAAAATGAATATAATATTTATGTTGACTATATTATTATTTTTACATCAACTTACAAATGTTTGTTATTCGCTTTGCGCATTTACAAATGTTTAAAATGGAAAAATAGAAATTAAAATGTTATTAGTGCTCAAATGATGAATGTTTTGGCTCTAAAAAGTTAATTAATTTTAGCATATTTAGTGTAATTACTACACCATTCTATTACTATGCGGTACATACAATGAAGTCTACTACCGCTGTGGTTGGCCACACTGCTTTCCATGTACTTGGCCTTACGGACGAGTTATAAGAATTTATTTTGCGTTCTCCCTCTCTGTCTATCGCGGCCCGTCCGTCCGTATCGTTGTTTTGCGCCGTGCGCTCCGACCACCGAATCTGGCCGACATACACACACACTAACCATAAAATAACAATATTATCAACTTAAAACATAATAATTGATTAAAAATATTAAGTAGTTTTACTAGTAGTGAATTGTAGTGATTTAATTAATTTTTGTTCCGTCGTCAATAGTGTTTTATTCTTCACATTACCGGCCCGTTTTACTGTAACCGTATTTCGATTTTTATTTTTTACATTTTTGAAATTCTTATTTTTGTGACGTGTTCATGTGTGTTAATTTTTACTCTGCTTAACGTTACTGTCATCATTGGCATAACTACCATCAACACCGCAGTAGTAAATTCCTGTGAGTTTTTTTATTTAAATAGTTATCTAAATGTTGTTCTTGTTGGTTCTTTCTTTTCCCCGTCCTGTTCGCTGTATACCATTTGAAATATGTTCCTGTCGGATATTAGCTTTTCCTCAGTCGCGTGTTCGGTGTGTGTGTCTTTTACAATTAATTATCATTTCTCGTTTTATTTAAGTTAAATTTTTCACTTACCGACGTAAACGTGTCGACTGACAGTAATTCCAAACAAACGTCACCCACCGTTACAGTCCATGGGCCCCATAATTTTGTATTATATTATTTTTGTTATCAAATGTAGTAATAACAATAATATTATTATTGCATCTATTAATAATATGTAATAATGTAATTTCGTTTTCGACTATGAATCGGTTCCCCTCCTCGGTCACATTTCCCACACGTGGCTTACGCGCGCGAGCATTCCGATCGAACTCCACCCCTCTCGCCGCAGCGCAGGTGACGTCTACGGCGGTCGATGCCTTCTCCTCATGACTAATTGCACGCACGCACATTCTTTTATCGTGACTGTGTGTTCTGTTTTCAATAATATTTTAATAACAGTGTTATTGGTCCGTGCAGGAAGGGTTGGGAAATTATTCAAAGAGGTCATGTTTAGCGCCCCATAATCGACAAGCAGTAATCGTTGATGGGATCCTTAAAGAACAACGTGTTCATACGTTAGTGCAATCGAAAACGACGTAAAAGTTTAGGGAGAGGATAGACGTGAGGTCGTCGCTGACGGTGGGACATGTGGACGACCGGCGTCGTGGCGACAACCAACAAGTCTTGATTGTGGTGTCCACAGGCGTTGGCGACGGCAGTCACTATATCAGCGCTAGCCACGCTGCTTGGCATTCGCTTTCTTTATGGCTTAGCTAACACACGTCGTCCATGCGATCGAGTTTTCTATGCCCGAAGTAATAATAGTGTAGTATTTCTGTCGTGCCTGGCTCCCTATACAAATGCCGCATCTGTTCCTTCACTAGTGTTCTCCGCTGTCCGTCACTTTTGCGCCGGACGCACGCAACACCGACTCCGGAACTCTTGCCAGTTTAAAAATCTTACTTGGGTACTAAAATATCTGTTGTTCCGTTTTAATAGTGCTGCGAATCTTCCTTCACATATCGCTAACGCATTCATGACAATGACCCCAAACGACATGGATCAAAGTCAACAGGCCAACCAGGGAAATACACAGGATTACAACGGTTATGCATACAACCAGAATTCTCAATACCAACAAAGACAACCATCTCAAAGGTAACTAAGCGTTCATCTTTATAAGCGTAGTTCCTTTACCATTGTCGCCGTGTAAAAGATATATTATTCATAAAAGTTGCATACTTTTTACACGTCTCGTATGAAAAGGTTCAGTCATCGATAGTTATCACATCACACGCGGTCGCTCTGGCCAATGACAGTCGTTGTCGTCAAGCATAGGGGACCGTGATGGACAAATGAATACTCGAGATTTTTTTGCGAAAGGGTCTGTGTCGCACCCCACTAGGCGGTGCCGAGGCGATTTTTTTGCCATCGATAATTTATTATTTGTTTTACATAGTTATAACTCCACTATTTTAGTAGATCATCTAATATTATTGACTTTTGAAAATTTCATTTAAAAGAAATATATTCAAGTTTTGATTGGTGGTTCACCTTCACGGAGAATTAGTTCAGTAGTAGTTAATTCGAAGCTATGAATGATATCGTTTACAAGTTACTCCAAAGCATTGCGTCACTAGGTTTTTTGCCAATTTTTTATCCGACCATCTCACATTTTTACCGTCTTTCTTCTCGCTTTTTAACTGCCGCCGGCTAACGCTGAAAATAACATGTGTTAAATATACACATTATATTTTACAGCGTACAACACTGATGAGAGTACGCGTGTCTGATCTCAATTTAGAATTCTGGCTTTGTTAACCGAGTTTAAGGCTGCTCTCGTGTATGTTATGGTTTTTGATCATAGAAAACTTAATGGGTTCGTGTAAAATTGTCTTTTCATCACTATAGTTGAATTTAGACACACTTGTTATAATTTAAAGTGAAACGACAGCACGACTTCCTTCATTGATATATTCAAATGACTAAAGTTGTAAAGATTTTAATTCTTAAGCATTATAACCTGTTATTGGCCTTGTCAGCTGTGTCTGATGAATACTTTGGCAATGGTCATTGACCGGAAGTCGTTTTCGCAACGTAATTGACACCGCCGCCACGACGAATAGTAAACTTGCAATGTATCAGAATGCAACAAAAAGCAACAGTTGTTGCCCCTTATTCTCCATGGCGATGGGTTGTAGTATAGCAAGTAGTCTACCTGACAACATAAATGTAGTTTGCTACTTAATTGATGTGGGTAAAATGAATTATGCAGTGATGGTCGCCTTAGCAGCCTGAACAAAAGCTGCTAAGGCGACCACTGCGCTGTTTGCTGTTGGTTCCCGGATGGGTGACCGTACGGGAACTTTAACAGTAGCACATACATCGCACCATACTGGTTCCTCATCCATAATGAGGTTTCAGGTGGACATTCCGTGTAGAATTTCGTCAAATCGTTGAGCCGGAACCGAACAGTTGGGATAGAGACTACGCTGATAATGATGGCATATTTAAATTGGAATTTAGAGTTGTCGTGTAAATATTTTTCTATTGGAAGTCAAATTCATAGATTTTTTGTCATCAAACCCATGCCTAAAATTTATGTTTAAATGTTTTCAATCAATATTTGGTTTCAAAAGTTAATCAACAACTTATTAACTGTAATGTTTTGTTATTTTCATAATTAGTTTTCAATTTTTGAATGTTTTAAGATTTATTTTTATAACTATTTGAAGGCATCGCGAAAAAAAAACTATTGAGTAATTTATTAATTTTTATTTCTTCACCTACTATAAATTCATGATATGCAAGCTAAAATTTTACAGTGTTTTTAATAAAAAAAAATCAAGATCATGAGACTGTATAGAATTCAACTAATTAGTTCATTTATAGTTTACCAAGTGGAAATGAAGACAAAGCAGAGTTTAGTCGGAACTAAATGCTGAATTTTTAAATAATATAGCGAAAATAGATAAATGCAATACCGATCAACTTTATTATTCGATTAAAAACAAGATTATTAATTGAAGATAGTTCTATAGTTATTTTATATTGAAGTACAACTGTAATTTTTACTCTTCTTGAAACAGATCATGAATATCATTTTTTAAATTATAAGCAAAGAAAAAACGATCATTTAACTGTAGAAATATATCGGTGGTGTATAAATTGTATACGTCGTATCGGAGGTGTGTACATTTTGCATCATATGCTTTTTGTATGTATATTTCAAGGTTAGGTTTTTTCATTAATTTTTAAGTTATGAAAACTGTCTTGACAGTTACAGTGACTGTCAATTTTAATACAATTAGATAATTCTCTCTCAAGTTGTCAAATAAATAAGATTAACCAAAATCGTAATACATAGTTTTGTATAAAACTAGGCGCTAATCTCCTCAGACCATTTAATAATATATTTGTCTCCAAAATTGTCCACTTGTGTGCTGAGCAATTATTCAATATTTGTAGTATTTTTCTGCACGTTAACTACTTTAATCGTCGTGGAAGTCGATGATCATAGTATTATCAAAAATGTGACTTCAGTAGTTCATATAGTTGATGATGCGACGGATGACTGTATCTTTGGCAAATAATTCACCACCTAACCATCGTGTGTGTGAAATGTATTCTAATTTTGTATAAAATATAAATGTGTGCGTGCGTGTGTTTTAATCGATAATGAACGCAATGGCAGAGTGAGTACATAAATATTTAGTATAAGCATCTCGTATAACTTCCTGGAACACCTAAATCGCTCAACATGGCTTCTGTTCCATACATTATTGCTTACATTATATATCATACAATATGTTGATATTATAATGGTGTGCGTGTGCTAAAATAAAAATTAGCGGGTTGTGTGTGGGTGGAACAAAAAATATGCGAGTAACCCCTTTTTCTCTCGGATGTGATTTTCATTTGCATGTATCCCGTCACCGTATAGGAGCACGCTTTAATATATAATATCCATAATAGGGCACGCGCTTGAGTGGGGGTGGATGCTAGATGTTGATGGACCGCTACCGTACGGGAACAGTGTGACCAGCGGTCTGTAAATATCGCGTGCGCCGCCTACCGACTGCATTTGCGTACGTGCCCGGTAAATAGTGTGCGGGGGAGAGAAAAAATTGCGCGTGGGACGGCTGTCCATTTCTTCATCTTCCACAATTGCCGTACAGTGGGGTGTGTAATCGGGAATTGTTGTGCACGTTGCATAATACGTGCCCGTCCCGCGCACGGGCATTTCCGGAGGCGTCCCGTAGTTAAAATAATTGTTTTTCACGACGGTCAACTGCCCTTGAGTTACAATAGTTTTCAGTTCCATTACGGAAGTGATTTTTTTAAATGTAGATTATCTTTTATATTTACATTGAATGGCTGTGTGATAATCTATTAAAGATTTTTATGGAACCAGCTAATTTTATGTCTTCCTAGATGAATGATTGATTTGCATGTTGTTCGCCGAAGAATATTTTTATTGTATTTGTGTATTCGTAGTGTTTTGTTTGATATACTGTTATTAGTAGTGCTACACTACCAACGAAAATTGTTTTTTTAGACGATATTTCTTCATATTCTTATGTAGTCCCTTATTTATAAGCTGTAAAATAACCGAATTAAGTTTATTGTGAAGAAGCTAAAATTTTATAGGGTATTTATTTATATCAACAAAAATTTTAAAATAAACCTATAGAATTGTGCTTCATCGATTTATATCTATTAGTCATTGTCTAATCTATTTACCATATTCTTTGATCATTAAACTATTCTTCATATATTTTTCATTGAACACATTTTTCTATATGATATTATTATTAAAATTTATGTATCTATTAGTCTCGCATTGATTAAAAAAACATTGGTGACAATATTCTTTAGAAAGTGGCCTTATATATGAGGAATACTCGTTTGTTTTAAAATACATTCGTGTTGTCCATTATTTTATTATATTTAAAATTTGCAAACGGCGTAAAATGTCTTAAATGTTTGTTAACATTTAACTATGTTGTATCATCACTTTCACTCACGAAATTGTATTCATTGCTTAAGCTAAGTCGTTTATTGTTATTTATTGATTGTTTAATGGAGTGCTCAATAAAGGCCCTTCTAAATTGTTTTTAAAGGTGTTTCTAATATATAAAAAATCATAATTTAGTTCTAAAATTATAATCATTTAATACGCAAACATTTTTTTTAGTGCAATTGGTAATTTTTATATTTTTTTAACGGCAGTCTCATGGTTAAATTAAGAATTAATCCAAACATAAAAAAAAAATAATCGACACAAAAGCCGATTTGAACAATCGGCTTCTTCTGCGCCAAGATATTCTTTTAACTAGTAAATTTTCAAAATACAATTATTGTTCATTTTTTTCGGAATTGAATAGTTGTTTAAGCCGCCTATCATATTAGTTTTTTTTTATTTAATTTGTTAATAATAATTGAAACACCCCGTTTGTACAATTTTACAGACATAATAAATATCATATATTATATGACCTTGACCTTAGAGCGTTCAACCAAAAAAAGAATATTATCAGGAATTTCTCGTACAGTGGAATGAGATTGGAGTATTTTATTTAAATGATTATTATTATAATATTGGAACATTTTACGTAATAGAACCGGTAACTTAGTCGATTAAAATTAACATTAGGTAAAAAATTCATGAAAAAAGTCTAAAAGTTTCCTAAAAAATATAATTTATTTCTTCGTTATCCTCTTTATAATTTAGTTTAATATTACATAAAAAAACGTTCATGCAATTAATTTGTTAATTGTAGAATTTTCAATTAATTTATAACTTATTAATGTTCAGAAATTATATTTGACTTTTTGTCGTATACAAATATCATTGTTATGATTATAATTTATGTATTTACTGATGTTGACTATCAAAATAATTTTGTAATTTTACAATATATGTTCATATGTTCCTGTCAAAAAAAATGCATTTAACATAAACATTAAAGTATCATTAAATATTTTAGTCAATTTGTGGTCTATAATTTATTGAAATCTTTTGATCATTATGTTTTTAGCTTCAATGCAAAGCTGAAAAAAATTAATTTTACTGCGTTTATTTATTTATCTATTTTTTTTTTTTTGTGTCTGTAATCTATTGTTCTCAGCTCTCACTAAACCGATTTTATTGAACGATATATCAAAATATCACAAATCCGTGAAGATATTACACTCAAAAATTGAAAACATTTCCTCGTTATTTGTAAATGTGAAAAATTCCCCCAAAGCCGGTACGATTTTTAATATCGTAAATTTTGAATTCGGTAACTTTTTTTTTCTTAAAACTGCCATAACTTTTTGAAAAATGAATGAATTAAAACAATTTTTTTTTTACGTTTTTTCATATTTTTTGAAAATCAGTCACTTTACTTTTCACAGGAAAGAATTGAAAATATCAACTTTTGTATAAAAAGTTAATTTTCTAAACTTTATTTTTAAAAATATCCGTACTTTAATCATTGTTAATTAAGTTACATATTGTAAGTTAAACAAATAATATTATTTTTGTTAAAAGAATAACCGTTTATTACAATTTTCTACTTATTATTTATGCATATATTTTAGGTCAAACAGTATAGACATATATGTGGGTGGGAATAATCATCCCCTTTTAACCCAATCTTAAAAAAAAGTAATAAAAAGATTTAAGTGTTAATTATAAATATTTTCAGGGAGAAATTTTGTAGCATTTGATGTAAATCCAATTAGATAAATTAAAAGAAGGGAGTGCTTTTTTCACAAAAATATTCTATCAATGGCTTATGATTAATTATAATTTCAACTACAAAACTGATGTTATAATTCACTTAATAATGTTACAGAATAATCAAATTAAGAAAGTTAACTTTGTTTTTAATAAATCCATATTTTCAATCTTGATATACGTTTACTATAGAGGTAGGATAATATACAACTACTTTTAACTTTTTATAATTTATAAAATTCATCTTCAATTAATTATTAAATATCAATTTCATAATAAATTTAATTGTTATATTATGTATTAATTCGTGTATTGTACTTATAAATCATAAAACTTGTAATCAGGTTATAATTAATGAAATAGGAATTTATTTTTTATTGGAAAAATCCAACAATTCATTCTAAAAATTAAACACTATCTACAAATTTGCATCGAATCGTTTTTTATGATTGTGAATTTAACCACTGTCAGATATCATTCTTGTTCAATTATGCAGTATCCTATCACCACGCTGCAATCCTCTGTGCTGGTATTTTTTTTTGCATTAATATAATAATAACATTTGATAAGAATCATTTGCTTTTGTGTAATTTTTATTAGAAAATGGACTAAATACATTATTGTCACATGACAAAAAATTCATAGCTCACAACATTGGTACTCGGTTTAGAACTCTGTTCTGTGTTTGTACATATATTTACTATTCGAAACATCTTAACTTTTTTTCCTTTCATAAATAAAATTCTTAGAATATACCAAATAATTTCAGTTGATGCCATTCTTTGTTAGGAGCAACACGAAATAACAAATTTACCTTCCAAAAATGTGTACCTTTCTGTGATATTGCTTAGATAATATATCATATTAAATATTGTATATTTTGTCATGTCTAAATCTATATAAAAATGTTTTTTTAAGCGCCTTTTGAGTTTCAAGGTTGAACTCTATAAATCCCAATTAGTGGTTCGGACGCAATTTTTTTTGTCTTTCTTTTTGTATCTTCTTCATCATTCAGCAATAATACTCAACATTAATGCATATTTGGAGTTTNATATATCATATTAAATATTGTATATTTTGTCATGTCTAAATCTATATAAAAATGTTTTTTTAAGCGCCTTTTGAGTTTCAAGGTTGAACTCTGTAAATCCCAATTAGTGGTTCGGACGCAATTTTTTTTGTCTTTCTTTTTGTATCTTTTTCATCATTCAGCAATAATACTCAACATTAATGCATATTTGGAGTTTTAATTTCTGACAAACTACAAGTAAAATGAAATTTTAATCTAATGGAGTATTTGATTTTGCAATTAATTGATATCAAATTTATTATTGCTTAGAATATGCAATGTTTTTGTGTCGCTGCTTAAAATACTTGATTACCACCTATATACCATCAATGTATCCAAGGCTATAAGATCAATTTTTTTAATTTTTGTAGGTTCACTTGTAATTATTTAGTATCTAATAGTCTTTCACATTTTTTTCCATATGATCTAAATATTTTATTTATTAAATTAAATTAATTTATAACTAAAATTTAATAATAGTCAATAATTTGCGTCAATATCCTCAATTAGGCAAGTTTTCATAAGAAATAAATCGAACATCTTTGAATGTTTTTCCTATTAGGTGTTAAAATTTATAACTCTGAAATATTTTTTTTAATTAGACGGGAGATTGAGTTCAATCCGTATGGTTATTGAACTACTATAATGCAATTTTTAACTTAGTAATATACATCTCGTATTATATTTGATTTATTGATTTTTGAATACTGTTAAACACTGATAATATCAGTGGATATATTATATCCGGTGAATTTTTAAAGATGACATTACTTAGCGGTCACACTGTATATATCCTATAGCCAAGTAGAATACCTGGCGACACTGTTATTTTACTCCGCCCTTATGTATTTTTTTAGATTACAGTACAAATTGTCAATAGCTTACTTTAATCATATGATATCACATCATATGATTTAATACTTTTGGGACTATGCTGACTAGTACAAAGTAAAACGATTGATAGGAAGCATAAAAGAAGCTGTGGGAAATAAAATGTTAAGTGATATATCATCAAAGGGTTAATTAATAAAATTAATGAGTTTATCTCAAGTATGCCATAGAAATTTCAAAAATAATGTGTGAATTATGACCGGAGTTTAAAATTAATTATGTTTTTTTTATTATTGTATACCGAAAAGAAGGTTAATTAAATATGGTATTATTTCGTGATATAATTTAATTGTTTCATAAAAATATATATTGGATATTTAAAATTTTTTTAGTGCCAACAAGATAGTTATTAGCAACGTACCTAGTAGTGTTCGATTTGAACAGCTGGAACAGGTATTATTACAATTTGGTCAGGTGAAAGATATAGAAAAACTAAATCAACGTGATGGCCCAACCCAAGTTGTTCAAATTACATTTGAATCTGCTGAACAAGCTCATAAGTAAGTATACATAGTTTTGGGTGTTATTAATTGTTGATTAATAAAGTTTTACTAAAATGATAGTAATTTTATTATTTTATTTTCTTATAGAAAATAATATTTATGGTTAATGTTAATGTAACAATATTCATTTAAAGTAAATTGGTAGGGTTCTTAAGCTTTTTATTGTTGTTTACACAAATGTTAAACTATTTTGATTATTTTTAAAATTGAAGAACATGTATGTTATGAATATTAAATTTAAAATAAATTAAACTTCAAAATTATTCATTCTTAATTNAATATTAAATTTAAAATAAATTAAACTTCAAAATTATTCATTCTATAAAGTACAAGAGATTGGTAATATTTTTATTATTATTCGGATAATGAAATATTTTTATTGAATAAAGATTTGGAATTCTAATACTATGGTTATTACTTACTCATTCTTCTTTATAGTAAATTATTACTAAAGAAAAAATATGGTACAAATGTGTAATCATCAATTAAATAAGTTAATTATTTTGTTTTCAGTGCATTAGCTAATTTAACAGGTTTTGAGCTTGAAGGTTGTCAAATTAAGATAGAACCTGCTATGGAAAGAAGAGGACGTAGTGGAGTCAGACCACGCCATGTCCCATTTGGCACTGCTGGCAGTAGTTCTGGTGTTGGTAATAGACAAACTGAGTTTCCTTTGCGTATATTAGTACATAGTGATATGGTTGGTGCAATTATAGGCAGAGGTGGTTCAACTATTAGACAAATTACTCAACAAACAAGAGCAAGGTAATGATATTTAGAATAAAATACTTAAAAAATTTAAATTATATAAATTAGATTATACTGTATTTTAATTTTTCTATATTTATATTTGTCAGAGTTGATGTTCATAGAAAAGATAATGTTGGTTCTTTAGAAAAAGCTATCACTATTTATGGTAATCCAGAAAATTGCACTAATGCTTGCCGAAAAATATTAGAAGTTATGCAACAGGAAGCAAGCAATACGAATAAAGGGTAAGAGTGGATAATTTTAACATTTCAATAAGAATAGCATAACAATACAAGTCTTATATTAAATTGATATTGCATTTTTAATTAAAAATTATTTTTAAACATAGAGTTTCCTTTTTTAATTCATTATAAATTATTTTATATAAAAGCTATATTTTTTGTTTGTTCTATAAATAAATACAATTCCTATTTGATTTTTAATTTTTATACCTTTATTATTTTTTAACAGAGATGTTATACTTAAGATTTTGGCTCATAACAATTTGATTGGTAGAATAATCGGAAAAGAGGGTAATACGATCAAAAGAATTATGTCTGAGACTGAAACTAAAATTACTGTATCCAGGTAAATAATATTTATTCATGTATGCATCAAATGTGCAAACTATTTTATCTTTTTATATTATCTTTGAAGCATAAACGATATTAATAGCTTCAACTATGAAAGAATTATTACTGTCAAAGGCTCAATAGAAAATATGTCTAAAGCAGAAGCCCAAATTAGTGCTAAATTAAGACAAAGTTTTGAAAATGATCTCCAATCCATGGCGGTAAGTTTACATAATCCTAGTATATCTATACTAATTTTTTTTTTAATACATATTTCTTTCACATTAATAATTACATTTTAGCCACAAACTGTTATGTTCCCTGGTCTTCATCCAATGGCTATGATGTCTGCTTCTGGAATAACATATCCGGGACGAGGAGGTCCAACTAACTATCAACCATTTGCACCAGCACCATATCCTCAAATGTATCCATCTACCATTCCACCAATTAATCCTGCTTTAGCAGCAGATGTGCAGGTTTGTAACATTATTTAATGTTTTAATCACATTTTTTAACTATCTTAAATAATTTACTTTTTAGGAAACTGCATTCTTGTTTATTCCAAATAGTGCAGTTGGTGCTATTATAGGTACTAAGGGTTCAAATATTAGAAGTATGATAAGATTTAGTGGTGCATCAGTTAAAGTGGCATCAACAGATAATGAGAAGCCGGGTACTCCTGTTGATGCAAATAGTGCACAACAAGCAAGTCGAAAAGTTACAATTGTTGGATCAGCAGAAGCCCAATGGAAGGCTCAAGGAATGATTTTTGATAAGTTGAGGGATGAAGGTTTTGTTCCAGCTACTGAAGAAGTGCGATTAACAGTTGAAATTTTAGTGCCAAGCAGTCAAGTTGGTCGTATCATTGGTCGTGGAGGCTCTAATGTAAGAGAGTTACAAAGAGTAACTGGTTCCATTATCAAATTGCCGACTCAAGGGTCAACTGATGGCTCTGAAGATACTACTACTGTACATATTATTGGTCACTTCTTGGCCACACAGGTAATTATTATTATTCTCAATCTTAATCTAGTTATTTTATGTTTTTATATTTTTATTTCAAGTCGGCTCAAAGAAGAATTCGCTCTATGGTTGCATCTGGTGCAAATCCAGCACCGCGGCCTACACGCAACAGCAGACCCACAGAAACACCACAACAGTGAGTTATTGACATCGTCCATAGATCCTAGGCAAATAAATCTCCTCCACCGACATGATCATTTAAATATAAGTGATAAATCATTATTGTTGTCGGTTTATTAGCCATAAGGATTTATTGGCTGTCATAACTCCATATTTTTAAGAGCTACTATTGACTTATATGGTCAAGGAGGGGATGTGACTGATTGCGTGACCAAGAGTACAAATGATTGTCAGTTATGGTTAGGTATGACTTTTGTTCCTTTCCAAAAAACGACAATCAACTCTTTTTATACATGATTAAAGTTAGGGATATTTTTTTTTTTTAATAAATCAAGAGGGAGACATTTTGAAAAAAGTTTTTTTTCTTAAATTTATTTTTGATAAATTGTTAAAAGTTATTTAATTTTTAATTTATTATTTTTTTGTTAACTTTTTTTTATATTTAAAAAAGTATATATTATATATATATTTATATATTTATAAAAATTTTATAAAAAAAATTAATAATTATGTTAGGATGCAGCTTTTCGTTTCCCAGGGAGGGCTGCATAGAAAATGGAGATATTAAATTCAAAAAAATATAAAAAAATACCCCTCATATACTAAAAAAATAATCAATTAAATCCAGTAAAACTAAACATCATCTCCCATTAAAGAACTTTAATAAAAAACGCAATCCATTCATCTATTTAAAAACAATTACTAGGTTTATACATTTACTTGGCGTAAAAAAATTAGCGATAATCCATCCATCCCCCACTAAAAAATTTAAACTATGCCTCAGTAGCATTTCCAAATGGACTAGTAGGAGGTCTAGTCCATATAATTATAATTTTTAATTTTTAGGTCATTTATCACAAAATCAAATTTAATTGTTGACAATTATTAATTTTGTCTTCAGCATCTTGTTCTAGACAAATATATACATAAAATATTAAATATATCTTCAATATATCATGGGCATTATTTACAACTGTAATTTAAAACTTACTGTGACATTTATTATTGTGATTCGCAGCAATAGTGTAATAATTTTTGTATTTAAATTATAGAGCTATAGATTATTTTACAGTTATTTTGTTGTATTTTCTATAGTCATTTATATTAGAACAAGAGTGCTCAGTTTAACTAACACAATGGTCCAAAAACAACTGTAAGCTTTTAAAAGCATATAACCAAAGAATCATAAAAATGCATTTCACAGGTTTACTAGGGGCTACTAAAGTATATTATATATATTTGTACATTTTCTTACCAATATTAATTTCCATCAATTAAATATATACTTGTATTAAATACTATGGGCATTGAGTATGTAAAATTAAAACAAACAAGAATGTATTTTTATATCAAACTAGATCTGTGGGTTCATTTGTTGTATTTTCTCTTGAAAATAATTTTAGCTTATCACCCGTCATAAATGTTAATTTAGTACATACTGTTACTATTTTTTATTGAAGTTTTGATTAACATAAGTCAAAATTAGATTACATTAATATTAATTATAACGGCTGATTGATAAGAAAAAATTTAATATGCATACAACTATTAAGCCACATACTCATAATTTTCATGTAAATTCAAATCCATTAAATTAAAAAAAAAAAAAAAAAAAAAAAGGATTATTCATTATTTATGTGTACTTTGCAATTATATTATTTATAAAACCATTTTTTTTTTTTGAATTTTAAATTTTTGTTAAATTAATTTGTGACATTTATTTTACATTAACAATACAATGCTATACAAGTATAACTTATATAGTTCTCATCTTATTAGTTTTATTTTTATTATAATTATAATAATTATATTTTTGAGTGCTTCAATATTTTTTTATCATCTTGGGCTTTTAATTTATTCATCAAGAAAATAGTATAGTAATTTTCGCTGTATTGGTATATGATAAAAATGTTTGTATACTAATTTTTCCACTGAAATCAATCATTGCGTATATAATTTGTAGAAGAGTTGAGTTTTAAATTAGTGGGATACCCTATTTGAAAATTAAATTATTTTTGTTATTGTGAATAATATAATAATTAACGATGATATTTGCTAATTTTCTCTAGCATGTACTTTAACATACAATTATTTAATTTCTCTGAAATAATATAAAAATGCCCAATTACACATGAATTAACTTATAACTCATTAGTGCGAATAGTGGTGATTCAAAAATATACTTTTTTTATTGAGTATTAAAATATTATTGTGTTCAAATCATTTAGTTAACCAAAAAAGTAAAAAAAAAATGTATACCTATTAATCAATATTATATAAACACCCATAGGTCATAAAAAAATTAACACAGAACTTAGCATTATTTATTATATATAGAAAAAATTATTGTATGCTTTTTTAAAAAATAATTCTACAAAAATTATTAATTTCAAAACTTATCATAGAATAGTTTGGTGAAAGGGTTAGTAAAATTTGTTTTTAACTATGAATAATAATTTATAAACTTTAAATATAATCAATATTTCCATAACACCACTGGTAGGTAAGCCGACTGTAAAATAATTATTTCCTAAAATTGATAATATGGTTATGTAAGACCAAGAAAAGAGCTCAAGAAATCCCAGGAGAAAATAACCAAACAGCCTCACCCGTACACTATAGGAGTTAACTAAATCTGAATATTAATTATTTATCTGGGGGATGCAGTTCGGAATTTTTTTTTCTTCAATCTGTCCATCAGCCGTTGAATGCAGAATTTTTTTTCTAATGTGTCGTTTGTAATAGAATTATATAAAATAACTTTGCATGCAGTCAGAACTAAGATAATTATTTACGTATGTTGCATTTTGTATTAATTATTATTATATAAATATATATGTATCGGAGATATTATGTATTCGGTTATCTTGTTCTTGTTTAATTTTAACGACGTTCCACACTGTTAATTAGTTTTGTATACAAACGTGCATTTTATTATAAATGTGTGTATAAATATCCAGTGTTTTGAAACACTGTGTTACAGTCTCCTTTTTCTACCATGGGAAAAAATAAATTATTCTAGTTATATATATAGATTTATATATATATTTAAAAATAAATAAAAAACATGTGAAACTAAATAAAAATTGTATTTTATATTTTCCTTATAGTAATGTTTTTGAAAGATGAGTGTATTTCAGAATATATTTAAAATGAAATCCATTATTGTGGTTACATAGATTAAAATTTATAATAATATTTATTATTAAATGAAATTTAATAAATTTCATTTTCTCGTTGAACTTTAAGCCACATGAATTCATGTTTTCATGAAGTCATATTAAAATCTTGTCATAATAAATATTGAACCATAAAACAACTGTTGAAAATACATTTAACGCTGCAGTTAAATAAGCATAAGACAATTTTTAATAATTCAGAAATTCCAGTAGTAGTAGTTTTCGGGGGAAATACGCACAGTAAAATATTAAAAAGACTTAACATAGAGATTACAATTCTAAATATTTCAGCGACGAAGATAAAGATAATAAAAAGTATTTTATTTAACTTTAACAAATCTAAAAACAAGGCAAGTTTATTTTTAACAAAGGTAGGAGGGTTATGTTATAAAAATGGTAATATGTTGGTTCTAGGGAAGAAACGTTTTTTTATTTGTGGAAACAAACATGGTGTACAAAACTACCGCAACCCAAGGTATGACACAAGAATAACTAAGTGCGTTTTTGACCATATTGTAAATATATTAAAAATAATTAACGTCATAAGATTACTATAACCATATATACAACCACTTAACAGAGAATGGCATTGCCTGTCAGCGTAAGATATTTAACAATTGATCAAACAGGAAATCGAAAAAAGCTTATTCCAAACAACAAAACCCAAGAAGAATTCGTAAACAAAGAAATCAGACCAAAAGACTAGTAAAACAAATGGAAAGAATACTGACTGAATTAGAAGCTAATCGAAAGGAACAAGAAACCATACAACAAATTATAGATGCAATTAAAGTGAATGACAACAAAAAGGATATATAAAAAAAAAAATTAGCGATTTTAAAATTTGTGATATTTTTGGAGATTTCCCCCATTTGTGGGGTATGAGGGAAATATTTTCAATTTTTGAGGGTAATGTCTTCGACTTTTGACGTATAGTTGAAAAAAATCGGTTTGGTGATAGCTGAGAAAAAGTGGTACAGAGATAAAAAAAAATAAATTAATAAAAAAAAAAAGAAACACATCATAGTAAAATTAATACCTTCTCAGCTTCGTATCGAAGCTAATATTGTAATTAAAAGAGTTAAAATATTAGTAAAAGATTAGAAAAAAAAATTGTGTATAAAAATTATTTAAAAGATTTGATCATTTCAAAAGAAAATTACATTAACCGTTTTTTTCCTTTCTATTCATTTAGTTTTTTAGATAACCAAAGTTAATTTTATAAAAATATAAGGGCACATTTTTTTCTGTAACATAGGGGATTGTAAAAACAGCTGTAAAGGTATTTAATTAAACTTCCATTTAAGTACCAGTAGAAGATTTTAACTCTAGTAAGCAATTTAAAATTTTCAAGTAAAATAATAATATCACATAAGGAGATAATGCAGAGTAAGCATATTAAAAATAGTGTGAACAAAAATATATAAAAGGAATCGAAAAAAGAAATAAGGGTTGTTGATGGACGTTTGAACAAGGAACGTCTTGTTTACGATCAGAACGCTGTAGCGCGTGATACTTTGTATTTCAAACGGTATTGATTTTATATCGTGTTACATTTTTTTGTATTATATTTGACTGTGTTTTTTTACATTACGTAAATAAAAGATAACAGTTCTAAACCTGCACTTGGTGTAAATTCTTCATATCCGCCATGTTGATAAAATTGTGGGTGTGTGCGCGGCTAGAGTCATAATTGGACTGCTGGGTCCTTCAGTCGTTCTTAACAGTTAGTGTGCATGCTGTCTAGTTTTAGGCTTAATCGTTCTTTAGTGAGTTTAGTGAAAAGGTAGTTGTGCTGGTGGCCGACGAGGAGCCACCCTTTAGTCGGCTACTTTGTTTTTTACATGTTTTATGATGATTATTAATCTAAACATTTTTGGTTATCTAGATAAGATAAAGATATTCAATGAAATGCTATTTAGATAAGATTTATTTATTTACTTTATGTTAATAAAACAGCTCAAAAAATTTTAAGTAATGATTTGTTGAGTCAAATTTTTTATATTTTAGTAGACTTCATGGCGCAAGTTAACAATTATTACACAAACTATATTGGAAAAATGTTTAACTTAATATTTTTGAAAATTACTGTAAAATTAAACTGTAAACGTCCTAGCAAAACTTTACGAAATAAATGGCTAAAT